GGAGACATTCGTCGATGGAAGCCGTGCGACTGTAGTTTCTGCCATTTAAAACGGCAAGATCTGTTGATCTTACGGACAGGCTGCTTTAAACGTTGCCTTTCTGCTGTGCTTCTATTTCAAATTTTTGATCATATTTGGAGTAAGAAACGATAGAAGTTCGACGTTCGGAGTGGGCCTTAGAGGATATTACTACCGGTCATTACTTCTGAAACTTGTCAATAGCCCAAACTACACTGAATTGTTTTACTTAATTTTTTTCTTTACTGTGTAAGACTTTACTTTCCCACTTGTGGTTTTTAAAGGCATGCAACCTGTCATGTGTTAAAAGTGTAGTACAGCCAACGATACAGCGGCATGATGGCAGTGAATTGAGCCTTGCAACGGTGGTCACACGGAAAGAAGAGCAAGACGACCTCATTGGTTGGTACTGCACGCAAAACTGCCACATCATGGGCGGTGGTTGGGGAGCCGCACGTGATAGACATGCTTGACTGATTTAATATGCATATTCATTACAATGCCATCGGGTACGATCACTACAAAGGCTAGGAATGCAACTGAATGCCACTGCAGACACAACTGAGTAGCAAGTCCGGCGTACCTATTGAATGTTAGACCTGTTTACTAATAAATTCATAATTATGCAGGCATGCACACAAATGGCCTGGCGGCAAGAGGTGTGAGCGGGCCATTGAAAATGTACAGGGGTCGGACTTTGATGTTCATTTTCTCTCAGGTTTTCTGGCTTTGTTTTTTTTTTTCTTCAGAGAATCCCATTAAATCATTTTTGCAATTAGTTTCTAATTTAAGTGGAATTTAAGTGCTCTGTAGAGCGACTTTATATTCAATTCAAATCAGGTCTATTATAAAACACCGTAATCTTAATGTCACGCTCATACGTGGGGTGCTGATACCCTACGGTGGTGGGGTACGCGTAAGTTTTAAGTTAGGGATTGATCTCTCCGGTGATTAAGGTACTCCAAATAAAGATCAAAAATTGGCACAAGGAATTATTCTCACTGTATATCAGATCTGGTTTATTTCTATTTGAAATCAAATTGAGAAATTTAGGACTGCCCCAATATTATTAAGGTAGAGAAAATCCACACAATTGTGGACACCAATAAATGGAGTTTGACAATGATAAAATAATTGATATGGATTGATTGACCAGTGGTGCAGAAAGAAGCTTATGCTCTGATAATTGTAAGAGTAAAATGTTTAGTCACAAGATATGACAAAATGGACAAAAGGGTAAGACTAAAAGACAAAAATCATAAGGACACTTATGCAACCTGCTCTCTCTACAGAGTTCAGCTGTGAAGAGACCACAATAGAACATTTCAGGGACACGCAATAGTCGTTGAGTGCAACGTGGAACAGTCGTTATGCTCCGTGCATGTGCATGAGTCACATGGCCAAACTTTCTACGAAACTTTAATGACCACGCGACAAGCAAAATCGGTCCAAATGACCATTTTGTACCTGACTTGGAGCCAAAACTTGGCCCACACATGCTACAAAACAAATCTATCAATGTGAACAGGCCAGAATCATGCATAACGATAAACGAAACAAAAGCTGCAAAAGTTGACGGCAAGAGTGAACTTACATGCTGACAGAAAAAACTCCTGCCAGAGAGAGACAGATTGTCACGTAAGCCAAGGCAAAGTACGTCGCGTAAGCGCACAAGAATACGTCCATGTGTGATACTAACTTCTGAACTTAAACCTCTTGTTGTAGATAAGATACTGTAAGATATTTTCCTCGTACAAAATGCATAATTTTAATAGCTGAATAGGGCACTTCCTGCCTAACCACCGGCCCACATTACCACTTTAGTCTCTGTGTGAGTCTTGGGTACATATTTTGGTTATAAAAATGTGTATTTTATCGTTGATTTGTCGACTGGATTCGCGGCGAACTTCTACGTTTAGTCACTTGGTCGAAGTATTACACTCCCACATGATGTGCATGTAGCACTATACTATCGTTGTAGAACTAAACCCTGGGTTGGTCTCTTGGTTATATTGCTTCATTTGGGTGTTTTCATGGTGTGCTTGACATCGGCCAAGAGATTTAGCTTGGCGTTTGGGGATCTGAACTGACATGAATGGAACTAAACAGAGTCAATCAGATTAAGAACTTACACTTGGGCTAGCTGAACTATTATTATACTATATAACCATTACTATTAATATACTATATTATTATATAATTATACTGTATAATTATTATTATATAATTATACTGTACAATACAGTAATTATACTGTATAAATTCAGATATTCATAGGGGTTTCTAATCTATCATCTGGTAATGAACATTTGAAAGTCATTGTATATTATCACTGTTCACAGTGTGGGAATGTTTGTCAGATTCGGTATTCATTCTTTTCTCAGTCAATCTTCAAGTTTTTGAGAGCCAATCAATAATTAAATTGTTTTAATTAGTTCCCTGTATGGTGGGATATCTGACTCCTGTCTCAAAGTTTGTATTGTGTATCGTCCAACCCGGCCTTTGCTATTCGTAACTCGTCATTTGGCAGACCTTCCTACCCGACACAGGGTGCATATAACATTGTCCCATGGTCATCCGATGGTCGCAACATTAAATTTTCCTGTGCGCACGAGATTGCCGTTTTCTTAGTATGCCCCCTTCCATGACAGTAGTGTGAATTACACTGTTAGTGTTCTTGGAGCCAACCTGTTCATTTGTAAAACACGTACCGATGTTCAATGTACATACTAAGAAACGGCAATCTCGAATGTACAGGAAAAATCAAGATTATAAAGTCTTTTTATAGAGAACTGACAATTCCACTTAAAAATTAGAAACGAATACAACAGCAAACACTTTTTGGTGCGCCAAGCAGTTTTGCAGGGGAACAGGAAAATCAGTAAATTTCCAACAGCTTGCCTCGTTCCCTAGGTTCGTCGTTTCAAACCCTCTAAGTTACCGTGAAAGTTGTTTCGATGAATACAAAGTTTGTTTTACCAGCTTTCTTATAGTGAGATAATTAGTGTCTTCAATGTGTACTAAGTAGTTAAATATTTGTCCGTGACTGAAAACCTAGCACGTGTAAAAAGTATACAACAATAATGAGTCACGTATTGACAGACTTTGTACGGCTATAACACCCCTATTTTGATAATGGAACTGTCCACGCGCTCGCCACACAGGATAGAAGGATTTAATATTAGCACCGTCGCATATCTGCATCGAAATCGAGGCTTTCTGTGTTGAACTCAGTCGTCGCACGCGCCTGTGGAGTCGACACAGTCATGCAGCATCCGCTTCGTAAGTGTTACGCCACTTCAGTTTAAACCACGCCTACTATACATGCACCCGTTAGTTCGCGGTTAATTGCCTTTGTTTTTTTCTGTTGATTTTACGTGTTGAGTCATCCTGAAAGACTCTTCCACAAAAAATTGCAGCATGAAAAGTCTGAAATTAACACACCTTTATGTAGTTTGTGTTTTCACTCGCAACTTTTATTCGCCTTTAAGAATTGAAGCTGACACACACAGCCTCTTATTCAAACCCAGAAGTGCGCAAATCGACGCTAAAAAGCGTCGTATCTCTCTATTCCAGAACTTTGCGCGTACACTGCGCACGGGTAATACAGTTTGTGACTTCGTCACAAAGGCGGACGCACCACGATTTGCCGGCTCCCATTGGACGATCGCTGAAGTTGCGCGTTAACTACCGGTTCAATGGTTCCATATAAACGGCGACCAACGCATGTAACCCTAGGTGCGGTGCACATATGAAATGGGCGTGGTTTAAACTGAAGTGACGTCACACTTACAAACAGGGTAGAGTACCAAAGTGAAAACGTCACACACACTTATGAGTGTAAAAGCGTTTAATAGCAGGAGTACCCATGCGTGAACCGACGTGTGCGCGTACTCCCTTCAATTGTACGACATCAACTGGTTCTAAATGACGTCACACTTTGGTACTCTATAACAGTTACCACACCTCATAAGTATTTATGAACAAATCGGAGTGCGTCATACGTCACCAGATGACGTATTTAAGAGTGGTGAGTATTCACCTCGCTGCCGTTTCGTAGTATTTTTTGGTTGCATTAAAAAATCCCTCTGGAACCCGCCGCGTAAATATGTAGTCTGTGTCGAGTAATCTTTGCGGAACCAGTCTGGAGTTGTGTCCTGATAACTATTAAAGACCTAAATCGTATGTTAGCGCTGCGCCAGACTATTTAAGCCCTGTTCAAGTTTTATGCACATCTGCACTCTACTATCATTACATGGAAGTTTAGCAGCTGAGAAACAACAATGGTGTCTGTGAGTACAAGTAACGTGAGATTTCTGTTTGAATATTTTTTGAAGTGTGGTAAACAGGTTCTTAAGAGAGAAGGCAAGTTGCCAAGAGCTTTTCCAAAAATTATGGCTTGATAGGGCCACGTAACCGCCACAATTCTTTCACATTACAAATACCGTATGTCAGATGGAAGCAAAACATACGTGAGTTGATGGGGGACGTGACCTTTAAAGGGTGTAGCTGCAATTAATGTTTTTGATTAAAAACCTGTAAAATGCACCTTTGTGCCTCAGTAAACCTTATTTTCAACTTTAATTTCCCTATTTCAAATGGTAGTTTAATGCCTTTTTGGTTTTCATATTCATGACCAAATTGTGATGTCATCTCAGGAAGAAGCCTCGATGTTACATAGGTTTGTACACAACAGATCTCCTGCGTTTTTGTAGATTTTCCTGGATTAAGTTTTTTCTTCTTTGCTGATTCATTGTTGTTTATGAGCATAGTAATTGGAAACCATTATTCCCTCTTTCAGAAATATTTTTAGTTGGTAACTTCTGGGTTCACAATTTGTACAGAAATACCTTTGCACTGAATCATGTCTTCTTCAGATGACCTCACTGCGACAGTGCCCTCAGTTTTCCGAGAAAACATGGATAATTTTGATTGAAAGTGTGCACTTTTCAATGCATTTAACCAAATAGGAGTGTGTACAGTTTTCACACATTGAAGAAAAGTACAAACATGCAAAAAACGTGTGTCGAAGAAATATTCATTGCAGCTACACTTTAACAGTTTGTACGAGTCACTTTTGCTGACAATTTACCAGGTATTATAAAACCCATCGATGTATAAGCGGTCTCATCCACTCAGCTACCTTGGTACACTAATTTATCGATCTAAACTGTTCACTAAGTGTACATGTATCAACATCTTTCATGCGTTAATAGCTATTCATTAATAACAATGAACTTTTATTTGGCATTACAGTCGCTTCAACAAGTTGACTAGGAGTTTAGCCTCGTCCCCTTGTCTTATTTGTTTGACACGGTACGCACGCACGCACGCACTTCAAATAAAAAGATCTGGACCTGAAGCCCTTAAGAGGCCCTTACTGGTCATTCAGGCCACCGACCGGCCCTCCTAACAAGGCGAATACAACGTTATACAAAAGCTTGCTCACCATTTTTAATAAAAAAAATAGAAACAGGCGCCAGATCGGGAAGGGGAGGGGGTAGGTGGTCGACCCCCCGCTCTGAGACCACAAATGTCATGTAATGTTTCATCTTCATTTCCGCTTGTCTGCAAAACTGAGACAATGAAAAATCCCCGGCCTCCCCCCCTGCAAAACTTCCTGGATCCACCCCTGGGCAAGCGAGCCAACCATCGCCTATGTAATCGCAAGTAAAATGGCCGCCGGTGGCTTCATTCGGTAAAAGGCTTTGCGAGTCCAGATTTTTTATGTGACGTCCGTGGGCAAACACAGCCATTACCTGGTCATGGTTGCCCCGTATAAACTAATCGAATGCACTCAACCTAATAAACTAATTTATATATCAAAGAGAGTTCAAACGTGTTACCAATACATGTACTAGTCTACGAGCGCCGAAATATAAAATGACAACGGTGCATAGGAACCCGTGTCTTGACAAGAAGTTGGTGACAAAGTCTCCAATAAAACTTAATGTCAACTATTGCTAACTAAGCAGCGTCTGAAACAAACACAGGGCCACACGGTGACGCTAGACAAGTCGTTTCTCTATTAAAGCCCTCAGCGAGGTCTAATTCCAAATGCTACGCACAGTTAATTTACCTGAAAGTATGGCACTTTTGGTGTTGATTTTGTTAGACCCTAAGCCATAACAGAAAAGTGCTCGAGATGAACGCCAATACCACGTTGCGCATGACGTCACCGCCGACATGGCCCACTCCACTTGGAACTTGGCAAACTGGGAAGAACAAGAAATGTAAATTGTACAAAATAATGGTGGGTAACATTTCAAAGCACGAAAGTGTAAAGCAAACCTCCATTAAATGATCTTTTTATTCTGTTATTTGGTGGGCTAAGCGGCAAGTCAGCCAGATAATTTTAGCAGCATAAGCAACTACTGAGCTAACACCATAAGCAAGATTGTCTAACTTGCAAATCTTATTTTTTTATGGAGAGATTTTTCCTTATCATGCACAGAAAATTTCTCGGGCTGAATTGTAAGAACTTTGCGGACAAAACGGTGATGTTATGCACTTGCCCTTATCTGTGAACTCTGTCCCGTAGCTGTTATTGGCGTAACCTGCAAACGGCTGAAATGCGACGTCTTTCATGTCCACGATAAAGTCGTCGAAAGAAATGGATACTTCTTCTTGGAAGTAGTAGCATCCGAGAGACACGGACTGCGGCAAGAGGTTATCGGACGACCGTAGTCCTGTTAATCTTGTTATCTCTGAGGTGTCGCCTGGAGGTGAGCAATCAAAGGAAACTTATGACTGTCTTGTCAGAGAGAACTTGCGGCTGACTTGGAGATTTGAACTTCAACGAATAAAGGAAGCGAGAACGGGAGTGACAATCTGGACAGATGGGGGAAAACAACAACAGTCACGGGAACTGTCTCAGGAATCGACAGCAAATTGACAAATACGCAGATAATGAATTAAGAGCAAAAAAACAACACGACATCAGTGGAAAGGGAGAGGTCGTTTGAAAATCTATTAGAAAACGACGATAAGAGCGAAAGGAAATAATAAAGGGAACTTGAAATTGAAATGGGAGTAGTGAAGGAATCGGAATAATTAAACAGGACATAGGAATTCAAGAGGAAAAGAAGACTTACCAGTATCGGTTCTGTGATACCATGCTGCACTGACCTGCGTCAAAGCGAAGGTCTTAGTTGACTTAGTAAAGGTTAGTTCTATGAAAAGGTCCGCAAACCCTTCATAACCTATACGCACGGTTCGTTTGTCCAGCGTGCAGTTGGGCTGAGGATCAATGACTTCGGCTGTTTGGAAGTATTTGGTTAGATTGGGCTGTGGACGAGGAATAAAAATAAAACGAGGATTCTGCTAAGAGTAGCCATTTTCGACCCAACTGGCTGTAGTTGGGAGAAAATTGTGTGCTTAGAACTAGAAATGTCGTATACGCCTGCAAATGGCTTTTATAGGCACCTGTGCTATTTCAACCCAAGCTACAGTATGACTATTTCAAGAGCACCGGTCACTAAAAGCCGAAAAAATGAGCGTGATTGGCCAACATGGGATGAATGACTTGAAAACCACATTCCAATTAGCCAGTATTAGTTACTGACATTCATGATCACAGTCCAAGACAGAAACTGATGTTCGTTCCAGGAATTTGAATCTTTTTCCTTTATAATGTTTAAAGGCTAATTTCTGTGAATATCTGTACATGTATTTCCAATTTCAATGCAGTGCAAAGATTCCTGTATTTCTGGTATTTAATAAAACAGAAACACAGAAACGTTTCTCATTACAATCCCACGACACTTTGCCAAGAATTCTATTCATGGGTCAAACATCTTGAACAACGTTTCACACGAAAAAGTTTAATCGTCATGAAATACTTTAGGGCCTCCGGCTGGACCAAGAGAGGGCTCTATTTTCTTAGCAACGGATATTTTTCAGGGTTGTGTTTTGGCAGCCCAAACCATAACTTGTTTCAGCTTTGGTCATTGGTCAGAGAACGAGAACTGAAGGTTGGAGTTGGTTCAGCGCCTGTTCAAAATGGCGGGATATAAACAGACAATTTTTGTCGTCTCTCAGATGAGTGAATTGTACACTGCAAAGTTGCTACATGCAGCGAATCAAAGAGATATTTTCCTCTAGAACGTATGTGACAAAAGAGAACGGAACTGGTGAGAAACATGTTGAATATTGAGTGAAAATTACTTTCATTTACTGTGTCGTCTGCTTCCTTACGCTTGCCTCTGTCAAATGATGTAACCATTTCTGATACGTCGTTCTTACGGACAACCCTTTACAAGTTCCTGGTTACTGTTTTGATGTCACAAACACGTTTCTGGTTAGTGGTCGCCAAAACACGCCCAGGGTCAGAGTTGCATTTTGCAGGTGCCCAAACTACTAGGAAATGCACGCGTCATGGTCGTATCGCTACCAACAAATTGAACACACCCGACCCACTCGGCTCTTTCAAACCGATGAGGGGGGTGCTTCTGTTTGAGGCGGTGGAAAGAAAGCACACTTTACACTTTGAATGAATTCTCAAGTTGCCCAATACTGGCATTTTTGGGGGGGATAAGTCCACTGGAAAATGATAATCCACGTTTTGCCAACAATGCTCACAATTAGTGCAAACAGTTTACAAAAATATTATATAATTACATTGTCTGGAATGCGGATCAGGCCATCGAACTTTATTATCATGCAGACAGCGTTGTTAGTGCCATTCACAGTCCACTCGACAGCTGCTGCGCTTGTAGGTTGAAACCCTGCTAAAAAGATGAGAAACGATGTTGGCACAAATGGACATAAATGTATATCACAT